GCTTAGAGAAAAGTTCTTCACCCAGAGGGTGGTTGTGTGCTGAAACAAGTTCTCCAGGGCACTGGTCACAGCACCAAGGCTGACAGAGCTCAAGAAGTGTTTGCATGATACACTCAGGCACAGGGTGTGACTCTTTAGGATGGTCCTGTGCAGGGCCAGGAGCTGGACTCAATGACTCTAGTGGGTCCCTTTCAACTCAGCATATTCTGTGATTCTGTGATTCTAAAATACAGCTCTAGACCAACATAAATCAACATTGACCTGAACATTACAGATCACACAATCACAGAATTGTTTGGGCTGAAAGGGACCTTAAAGCTCATCTCATTCTAATCCCTTACCATGGGCAGGGATACCTTCCACTAGACCAGGTTGCTCAAAGCCTCGTCCAACCAGGCCTTGAGATATATCAATAATGAATCCAATCCTGTTAACACTTCAATTTCTGTGTTTTGTTCTTTTGAGAAAGAAAACAAGCATACAAAATCTGCAAAAAGAGATCTGAATTGTGAACACATCATATCCTGTAGGTGATGTCTCCACCATCTCATGGAAACAGCAACAGCAGATATTGGAAATTAGACCTCCAGCTCAACAGATCCTACCACAGTCACACAGTGACAAGGGATGATGTGAGGTACAGCTGTTACCACTAATGTGAGCAAAATTTATGCTGCTCATACAGTCAGTGAAGACCTGACCACATCTGTGTGGCATGTTCCTGTGCCTCATCTTGAGGCACTGCTCCAAGCAGCTTCCCAGAAAAAGGCAACCAGAAACCTGGAGAACTTACTTTCTTCTTCCTTTTCTTTTTCCTTTTCTCTTTCTGTTCTACTAGGCGACTATTTCAAATCTATTTACTGCAATATGACTGAGGTAACTGGCCGTTTGTGCAGGGGAAATTCTAATTGCAACTGTTGCACAGTGGTAATTTGTGACTGAGGCACAGAAGGCAAGAAGGTCCAAGTGCAAGAAGGTGTCAAACTGGCTGGAAGCAGGATGTCAAGAGACAGAAAGATTCCGTGCAAGGAAGGAAACTTTCCCTGAGTGCTGAGATAAAGAACAGCTGCAATGTTGCCTTGTAGACGTCTTGGAATTTGAGTGCTCTGGGACGGAAGCTCAGTGGCCACCTCTGTGCAGCAGAGACAGGGTGGGGATGGACCCACAGCCAGGCAGAAGTGACCCAGGCAGCTGGGATGGGTGCTACTGCAAATGTACACAAATGATATGTACATCCTGATGCATCTGTGCAGACTCCTTGTACAATTATGGCAGTAGGACTCTGCCCAATGTATTTTTCATTATTTTTTTCTTTATATACAAGCACAAATGTGTTTAATTGCCCTTGATGGGTACCTTAAAAATTCCCCAAAATTCATTTTAATTTACTTGTCACAGATGCCTTATAAATTTCAGTCCCCTAACTTTTTTGATTTCTAAAATTAGGACCCAAAATGACAAATGTGGAAATTCCTGAATTTCGTAGCCACAGTCCATTAATAGCAGATAGCAACTTTGCCTTTTCTTCCTATTTTCAGGTTTACATCCATTGAAGGGAGCAGTGAAGAAGAGTAGGTAGGCTGACTTAAGAGAAAGACTGCACAGTTACATAATTCAGAAAACACAACACATTTTAATGCTGACATTTTACAGGTTTTATTTATTAAAACCTTATAAACTCATTTCCTTGAGTTTACTTGGAAAAAATTAAAAATGCTCAATAATTCACTTTAGAAAAGCAGCCAATGAATAGAAGTGTTTAAGGTGCTTAATGGCCTCGATTACCACAGTATTTAACCATGTCATAATCCTCAATATTTATCACCACTACTCCATTGTAAGATAAGAAAATGCTCTTATCACCATTTTACAGAGAGGGGACAAAAGCCGAGGAGATAAAATGATTGCCCTTAGGTCACAGCAGAGCCTGTGGCAGAGCTAAGATTTACCTTTCTTCTGGACCAGATTTTTTTGGTTTAGTCAATAATCTGCACATGAAAAAGCTCAATGGTATACATGCTTAGGTCCCAATTCTGCAGAAGCTCATTCATGATAGTATTAAGAAAACACAGCCCCATTTAAAAGCTCGTGCATGAATTTAAACCTGGACTTAAGCAACTGGGGTGTGTTTTTTTCCTCAAAGTCAGCTATTTAAATGGATTAATTATATAGCACATAACATCTGTCCCTCCACACACCCTCAAACTCTGCCCTGCTGTACAAGCCCACACTGTTTCTGTCCTTGCAGACCTTCCCGTCACCGCACACTCTTGCTCCTCTTTTAAGTTGTGGGAGTTCTCTGCAGCCAAAAAATCACTTCAATGTCCAAGAAATAGGAAGCAAGTCTTGCAATCTTCTTTGGGCAATGAGTAATTGTTTGGTGCAGAGCTAATCAGGTATTAATGTAAGATTGTGTTCTGAGACAGAAGAAAGCAAATCTTTGCAGTGAGCAGTACAGTTCAGCCCCACTAACCCTGGAGTACTGGTATACATCCAGAAATCCTCCCATTCACCTTAATACTCTGCCAGCATAACTCAGAGACCACTGACATCCAAAATCAAAATTATGACAGTACCAGATAGTAGGACTGAAGTCCCAGAGTGTATGAACTCTTGTAATTCACAGCAAAGCACTTCCCAGTTTCCTTAACAATTGGCAGGTCTTTTATTCTATATATATTTTTAATACTCTTACTCATAGAAAAGAGGCCCCTGTTTTGCAAGTAAGAAAGCAAGAGGCCAACTCCATTTGGGAAAGGGGCATAAAACTGTAAAAGACAGAGATCAATGTTAGAAGAGGGAAGACAAGGTGGGAGGCAGAATTTTTTGATCAGCCTGTACTGAAGACTCCTCAGTTATTAATAGAGGAGCAGGAAACAGAGGGAGAAAAAGAAGAGGCTGTAAAAATTTCTTGTGTACCCTCCAGCAAGAAAATGTCCATGTGTCCCATAAGACAGGCACACAGCCACTGCAAAAATTTCCTTTTGTTGTGTTTTGTAACTCATATAAATCATATTTCAAGTCCATATGAACGAATTTGAAACCACCCAAGTACTGCTGCTATTTATACAAAAATAGGTCGATTCTTTCAGCTTATCAGCCTTCCCAGACACTACTCATAATATATCTTACAATGCCTTTAATACTTACGACTGATAATTGAAAAATTATCAATTATGTTCAATGATCAGTTGTGTTCTTGCATAAAAATGACAACATAAGATACATTTTTATTCCTCCTGAAAGAAGCCAAACCAGTACTGACATGTGGATAGTCAAAGAAATACCTATTAATACCCTTGCTCACTTTGCTTCCAGAAAACTTCAGTGGGTTTCAATTAATTAACTGAAACCGCCACAATTTCATGAGCAGAGCACCACAAACCTGCACAAGTGTTTTCAACTCTCGGCACACATGCTGTAAAAGTTGGCTCACAGTTCCACACATTTTAATCATATTTCTATCCCCACCCCGAATAAATGCTAGTGACCCATTTTTATGCAAAATTCTGCTATGCTTTTTTGAGGTGACGAGAGCACGACTCTTGTAACAGACACACTGGAGTATCCAATAGTCATAGCATATGTGTGTCCTGGAGTAACTCCTAAGTTACTGCTGGAAGGAATTGTTAAGGTGCGCTTTTGCTCTCTAATATCAGAAATATTTAACTGCACATCCCAGACTGTTTTACCCAGGTATGGGTGTAGGTCTTTCTTTGTGAAGGAAGACAGTCCATTTTAACTTGGAGATGGGAACTCCAGTCTTGCAGTTGCAGCAGAGAGATATCAAAAGCACAGACAATTGGAAGAAATCATATTTATTGTTAAATTTCAAAACCCATTTTTACCTTTCTAAAAGCAAATCAAGCCTCTGTCCAAAAATTGCTAAGTCTCTTTACTAAAGTATCCTGATTAGGGTGAGGCCTCAGAAACTGATGCTTGTTCAGGGATCAGTAATTTTTTATAACTGTTGGTTCTACTTATTTGTGGCCAGCTGATCTCTGCTTAGCGAATCAACCTTCAGCTGATACAGATTTCTTACCTCTAGGGCTGACATAAAGAAAGAAAACATTCCACTAGTTATGTTTTGTTTTCTTAAATAGTCAAACTTCCTTCTGATACTGGCAGAAGAACTGCAGACATCTAGAGAATGCTGGATTAGTATAATTTGACTTAATTAGTTTGACAAGCTCTTTTACAGTATGTCTGTCGGGAATTTTTCAGGACTTCTGAAATTGTCTATTCTGAAAGACCTACTACAACTTCTTAAGAATGTTGTGGAGAGGTCAAATGGTGAGGAAATGTTAAACACTCTGATATGGTTTGAAGCTGGCTCCCTGCCAAGTCTCCAAACCTTACCACAAGAAGTCATGTTCCCCCCCAAACCTCAGGGAGAAGAGGGAGAAAAACAACCAAGAAAAATCGAAATGAGAGAGACAGCTAAAGCAATATATACATAAATATATTTACACTTATGTTACAGTTATATATAATTGAAATATATATACAATTTCACAAGGAAAAGGGAAAGGGAAGAGGGAAGGGAAAAAAGGAACAAAACCAAAATAGAATATATATATATATATATATCCCAATCAGTAGCCCAAGATCTAGCAACTAAAAGAGTTAGCAAAGAAATATCTCACTACTCTCCTTGGGACAACCGAAAGTCTCTCTCTCTGGAACGATCGCCAGCAACCTCCGCCTCCCAAGGTCGGCAAGGCCTAACCAGGCCTCGCTCCCCAACATGGCAGACTCAACAGCAGGGAACCTGCACCTCCAAGCCGCCGGAAGGAAAGAGAGCGAAGGCCTTCCCTCCTTTCTTCTTATAGCCTGGCTTACGTAAAAATCGTAGGGAATACTGGGTAAATCTGGGCCCTTCCTTGGTTACAAACTGGTCACCAAGGAAGGCCTAGACCAAACTACCACACACCCCCTCAGACAAGCCTGTCCTCACAAATAACAAAGAAGGTGGAGACCCCCATTAATTAGAAACCCACCTCATCCAGATGTTGTAGCAGCTAAAATTTCATTAGGTTTTAATGTGAGTTAGCAGAAGGAACTCTTCAGGGATCAACAAAAGACTTGGTCACTTACAGCACTTTGTTAAGAATCTGTTCTGGGCCATTTTATCACAAATTACATGACTTAAAAGGTTTCACTTCACACTTCTTTAGCATACCCAGGTCTGTAGAAAGAGAAGTGCATCCGACAACAAAGGCTCTTAAAACCTGTGACTGCACTGAATTCATGTTTTTAATGGGTTATAAGGATCTGGCTGACACACAATCTTTTATGTTGCCAAGAAACCGGATGCAGCAAATCATCTACTTTTTATGAAAATACTGCAAAACAACAAGAACAAAAAAAGAGACAAAGGACTGTTCATTACACATTACACTGTGTAATGAACAAACACTTCACTTGGAGAAAGAGAAGAAAAACAACCCATATTGAAATGCCACTTGATAGTAAAACAAACCCAAGTGAATAGTTTCATTCCTCTGAATAACTATTTATTTTACACTGTCAGATTAAATCTGAAATCCAATAATCTTTCTAAACTGCCATTCCTCAAATTGTTTTCTCACCCTATAGAACTGATTTTGCAATCTAATTCTGAAACCAGTTTTCTTATGCAACTGTGGCACACAAATGTCATGGTCTGGTCTGACAGTAGCCTGCTACAGGACATGGCTTTGTTACAGGAGTTTTTAAGTCCAGTCAGCATGGTGGCACAAGCTGGGAAGCAGCTGGGAGACAGAGAGGGGTTATTAACACACATGGGCTTTTGAAGCTGGAGCTGTGTAGAAATCAAAGCAGCCTCGGCAGAGCTTTTTACAAGTCCATTTCAAAAACTTATTGCCTTATTTCACCATCTTAGTAATTAAGTTTGAATTAGGTATAGTTTATAAGGTGGAAGAGAACACTCAAACAAAAAGGACTTCGTATTTCAGGACAAGATGTTTTGTGAGAGCAGCATGACCTCCGGTTAAAAACTCTTTCAGCTTCTTATTTATGTAATGGTCCTTGAAGAATGGCGAGGTGCTACACCACAGAAACTTAATGTTACCTAAGAGCTCATCCTTATAAAGAATATAGATTTCTCCAGTTCTAACTGTGCAGTTAAACCAGTACAGCTCTCTTAACGGCAACAGACATAAGGGCATAAAAATGCTTTAACCAGTACAACTTTTTCATACATGGAAAATAGAATACGTAATAGTATGAGGCACATTGATTATCAGATGCAACTCAGTACACCCTACACACTTCTCTAGCTTTCTCAGTTTAAAAAAAAATTTCAACCTTTTCATTTGTAGACCTTTACATTTCATGAGTGTTTTTCATATAATAAATTTAAGCCTTCTTTGACAGGTTACTGTAACCCATGGATTGAACACAGGCTGAAACTGTCAGCTTGAAGGGAGGAGGGACACCTACCCCACACCATGAGCTGTATATCATAACTGTAATAGTTTTTATGTAGCCAAGGTCTATGTATAAAAACAAACCAAGTCCAAGGCATATATCTTTATATATATCTATATACTATTGTATATAGATATATAGATATATATCTTTGTATTTGTTCAGATACCCTGGTAAGGTAAGAATAATTAGAGATAGTGGGTTTCATTTGTTGGAAGCAGTGTTTGCCAGAAGACTGATATAGGCCTGGTGGGCTTCTGACCTCCAGTTGCAGGGGTCCATTACAAGCTATAAACCTTTGCTACTTCTGTTAATTAAAAAGATATTTTTCTCCCAGCATCTGTCTTTTCAAAGTCAAGAATTCTCCATATCAACAACAATAAAAAAGAAAAAAAGAAAAAAAAAATCTAAGCTGCATATGACCTCTGCTATTTTTTTTTGATTTTCATTACAGATGGATTTCCTTGTAATGACTCTTGTTTCTGTCTCCTCCATCAAGTCTTTCTGGATCTGTAAGAAGATGGGAGAAAGTCCACATTCACATTCATGGTACTCCTTGGCAGGTGACTGGAAGATCAACTCCTACACATACTGCAACACTAGATGGAAACATGTGCTGTGCCAGGGGGAATGAGGAGTTGGAAAACACCCCACACCTTTCCAAGGGAACAATAATGACATGCCATGAACAAACTCACTGACTCTTGGCTACCTTCCCCTCTCAGACTGCTGTCAAGGACGTTCACGCTGACAAACATGTTCTAATCTTTAGAGTGATTTCTCTGACATCACTCCTGATGTCAAGCTGAGTAGGCTTGAGAGGTGAAGAGGTGCCATATCAGATCAATATGTCACAAGGTACTGTCCTCAGAGGTACAACCTCAGAGAGCTGACAAATTCTCCTAGATCCACTGAAAGCCAGGTTGGATGGTGCTCTGAGAAACCTAGTTTAGTGGAAGGTGTCCCTGCCCATGGCAGGGGGTTGGAACATGATGATCTTTAAGGTCCCTTTCAACCCAAGACATTCTGTAATTCTGTTATTCTATGAAATATGGCATCGACTCTATCAATTAAGAAAGGTAATTGTCATCTATAGCAGTTTGGCCTCCTTTTCTATCCTACATATCCTTATTCTTATATTTACTCTTTGTGGTGGTGAAAATCCTAGGCTGTTTATTGTCTGCTCCAGCAGAACTAGGTGTGGAAGCATTTGGCATCTCATGCCCTGGATGTCCAAAGATTGCATACCTGCTTCTGACCAAATTCTGGATGAACAATTCTGTCCTATTATTTTCTGGTTGGTTGGTTTGTTTGTTTGTTTGTTTTTCCCCCTTTTCTCACTTGTGATCTGTGACCATTCCACAAGTGAGGAAAGGGGCCATTAACTTCAAGAGTATTAAAAATGGGGCAGCTGTCCTACAAGCTTCAGGTGGTCAGCCAATGCTACAGACACTTGTACAAGGCTTTATGTACCTCAGAGAGGCAGGAAGATGATTGCACAAAGGAAAGATGCAGCAGCACAGGTGATGGAAACTGGAAAAAACACAGTAGTATCTTTTGAATCACCAACAGCAAACAAAAAGTATTTCTTCCTTTGCTTGAAGAGGGAAGAAAAATATAAAACCAAGTATCTCTGTCAAAATCAATACTAATTAAATCTTTTATTTAGCTAGAAAATAGATAATAAATGCAATGAAAATGTTTATCATTTAGGAATGTGGGTTAGAGACATGGGCTAGTGGTGGACTTGGCAGTGCCGTGTTAATGATTACACTCAATGGTCTTAGAGGGCTTTTCCAATCTCAGTGATTCTGTGATTCAGTTCCCTCTAGTATAACTCTGAATATCTGATCACCCTCTTGGAATTTCTCTGCTTTGGCAAGCTATATTTCATTATAATAATTTGCTTTCTTTATAAAAAGATTCCTTCTCTACTTCAAGATTTAGTTCCTACTCAGTCATGCTACATCACTTTGTCCCTTTTACTAAACCAAGAGTAGAAAGACCTTATTATGTAGCAGACTTAAAAGAAATGTGATCTATATAAGAAGAACCCAGTTATGATGAGATAGATGCTAGATTTCTTTTTTTTTTAATTTAAAGAAAGAGGCCTAATTAAATACTGAGCTTGATTCAAAGTAGATTTTTGAAGGTTTATCAGCAGGGGGCATTAATGCAACATTACATTCCAAATGCCAAACTACCAAACAACCATGCAGAGTCTGTAATGTTTTATGTTTTTAATATATTTGGGGGTTCCTCTGTTATTTTTCCACAAGATAATCTCATTTTTAAAGTAGAGCTGGAATTTCAGGTCCTCTGGCGTTGGTAACAATTTGTTTAATAATCTACGGTGGGTTTCATCCTGACTTTTAAAAGAAGTCTTTGTCCCTGGTTTTTGTGGTTTAAAACAGGAGAGAATGATTTTAAGACCAGTAAATGTGCAGCCAGCAATTTCAAATAGGATTATCATGAGCAGGAAGAATAGATGGGTTCATCCCTCTTGGTGAGTATTTGTTCACAAACATCAGCTGCTTCTTGACAGCAGATCATGGACCCAACTTCCCTATGTTTGCACTCTGACAGTAGCTGCTGACCTGAAGAAGAGAGCTGATCCCAGGAGGCTATTTTAAATAGCACCATTTTCCCCTCAGAGCACGTATTTCATTCTCAACTGACTCTGAAGTAAAAGCAACCGCACTGATAATGCAAATTATCACTTACAAAGAATGAACCCAGGAGTTCATGTCAGTAGGATTTTATCTTGTGTTAGTTTTCCTATGCTAACAAACAACAGAAAGAATTTTTTTCCCTTTTTTCCCCTAAACCTTTTTGAAGACAGTTCACAAAGGTTCTCTGTCAGAAAGCCAGTCCAGCAGTGAGCTGGTGACTGAAGGAGTCAGAGCTAAAAAGGAAGAGATACTCAGTACATTGGTCTTTTACTCAGGGCTGATTCTCAGTCCTGGCACCCTGTGATCTCACTTCATTCACTAATAGCAAAAACGTTACTGAAGCTGGTCTCACTTGCCTGTATTAAAATCTGTATCATTCACAACAATCCCTAGTCTGTCTGTATGTGTAGTGTAAAAAGACATAAATTTAAAATTTTGTCAGGAATTACATTCATAAATTTTCTTCCCCACAATAAAAAGCTGGAAATACTTTGTTTTTAAACTAAAGTTGGAGATTGTCACAGCACCACCTGATTGCAGGAGTAGAATTCTTAAGGAAAATTAAGGAAAGTTTTAAACATACAGTAACTCTGGGACTTAAAACAACATTTGGATGACACCCACTTGAAAGATGATGATCAGCAAGCTGTTTCTCTGCTACAGCAGCAAACTACTGTCTAAAATAACTTGGGTCTTGCTTTCAGAGCCAGAATCCCTAACTTGCCTCCTGTATCTGGAACATCATGGTATGTCCCATACTTTTTCTGTCTCTCATACACACATCCTGTATTTTATGTAATGTATCTTTCTCAGGTACATGCAGATTAATGCCTTTGTTGTGGCAAAAAGTAGTTATGCAACAATAAAATGAAATGTGTTCCTCAAACAGCTGTAGAAACAAAGGCATTCTGAACTTCATAGGAAATTGTTGGCTAATCTGTGTGTGAAAATCAAGACTCTTCTCTTAACAAAATCTGAGAACTATAATTTTCCTTTAAGACCCCAAAAACATGGGGTCTGAAAGCCTTCCTGATAAACATCAGAATCAGATTTATACAAGGGGGAGAAGAGAATTAAACTTCCATCTGTCAAGAGGGAGAATGTATCAGATTTTTTAAATTTTATTTTTGTACCTGAAGAATGTTATCACTATTACCAAGTGTTATTAAAACCTTCAAGCCCCAAGCATAGCCTATTTGTTTTCCTTTGAGCAGGTTCCATGAGGCTTTTCAGCAGGTGGCATGCTCTGCTCAGTTCCAAATGGTACACAGCCAGGAAACTGCTGATTCCAGCACATAACACCTTAAAATGATCAACAAATTATGGCATAGAGTAAGTCGTTTTCTTAATGAAAAAGTCTGCATTAAAATGGAATCTGTTCAGAATGATTCTTTTCCTTAGCAACAGTAGAGGAGAATAGAAATATTTTGACTATTCTGATATTAAACTAAAAGAAACCAAGGGCATATATTTTTTACTCTTTTTTTTTTTCCCCAGCCCCAGAAATACCTGAATGCATGAAACTTGCTGCAATACTTAAATACTGCAGTATAGCAAAATAGTAAAAGACTTGT